TGTTCTAAGTAGGTGCTTTAGACCACTGAGCCATCTCTCCAGCCCCATATGACACTTTTGGTGGTAGCTTTCATGGCTTTTTTCTTAGACCAGCCTTTCTCCCTCTTTGCAATTTCCCTTAGATGATACACATTCCTGGATTTTCCAAACTTCTGGGGTTTCCACTGAATAGGCTTCTCTCTCAAAGCTTTACATAGTGCCCTCCCAGGGCACACTGCCTAGTCTCCTGGGCCTTCTTCTGAAATCTAGGTGATAGCCTTCTTAACTCCAGAACTCCTGTATTCTGCATGCATCTAAAATCAATGCTACATGGATGATGCCAATGTCTGCTGCTACCTGGAACAGTAGATAAGCTTTCTTCTCTCTTGGCTGTAGGGGTGGAGTGCCTGGATTGCTGAACACTCTGACCCTGATTCCAAGGAACAAATTTTCTATGCCAGCACTATTCTGAAATCTGGTGTGGCTGCTGCCGCCATTCTGGAACATAGGGCTTTGCAGCTTTCCCCTCAAGGCAAAGTCCTTCACTCTTGCAATTCTGAGGCTGCAAAGGGGTAGAGACCTGCTGTCCTCAGTGATGCCCTCAGGCCACCCTTCTCTTGTTCCTTCTTGGCAATAGAGATTCTCTCATCTCTGTCTTTAAATTCCACAGCTTTGTTGAAGCTTCCTTTCTTAACAAACTCTCAACATTTTAAATCATCCTGTTGGCCTCTTTGCTCTTGATTCTCAACATAAATCAGACTAAAAGTCTCCAACAATAGCCATGCTACTGCCTCAATATTTAGTTACTTTGAAATTTCTTTTGAAAGATTAATCAGTCCAACATGCTTAATCTCAGTCTCAGGAAAAGTCTCTGGACACAAGCAAAATGCAGGAAAACTTTCTGCCATGCCATAATACAACTCATCTAGAGTCCAACAACAAATGCAAGTGTACTTCCAAGAAGAAACCTCCCCAGCCTGGTCTTTACAGGCAGGATTTCTATCAGCTTTCTGGTCTTCCGAGCTCTGACCAGAATCTCCAATACAGAACAGCTGAAGTTGTTCCAGTGCTTTGCTTGTAGGTGACATCTCCAAACCTTTCCTATCTCCTCACATAAACCATTCCCAAAATCTTTTAATCCACAAGGTCAGATTTAGTCACAGCAACAAGCCCACTTCTCTGCTACAAAATTCTGTCTCAGCTATTTTTCTCTCATAGGTAGGTCAAATACCCAACACTAAAAATGAAGGAAGGAAAGATTTGCTTAGCTCATAGTTACTGGAGGTTTCAGTCCATACTCAGCTGGCTCCAAGGCAGAGTGACACATGGCAGACAGCAACCTTTCATGGTGGCAGCAAAGAGCAAAGATCAAAAGGGTAGGAGCAGTGGCAACAATGGATTCACAGAGCAAGTTTCTTTCCCTTAAGTTGCATTCAGGCTATATGACCCAGGCTGGGGGTACTACTCACACCCATAACCCTAGTGGATCATGAGTTAACTACAAACTCTAGAAGTTCACCCCATGACTGCATGAGGCTGTGGGGGGACAAAAAGACACAAATGATAACAAATAGGATCTTGCTAAATTTCCAGGCTGTCCTCACACTTTTGATACTCCTGTATCAGCCTTCTGAGTAACCGGGGTTACCAGTACACAGAATCACACCCAGCTGGCATGTGTTTAGTCCTCACATAAATGTTGGCGCCAGAAGCTTCTGGGTCCACTTGTGTTTCTGTTTCTGCTCCCCTGTTGACTAAACTTCCTTCAGTTGTACTCTTCAGAGAGCAACTGCTTCCACTTCCATGTCAGCTCTAATTCACTCTCACACAGGAAACCTTTAAATATGAGCAAATGAGGGAAAGGAAGCAATCTAAAATGTTATGACTATGTCTCAGCCTTTTGGGGAGTGGGGTCCCTGTGTTATGATCTTACAAGTGTTTCTTAGCTTCTCCTTCCTTCTCTATTGGGAAGGCTTGAAGAGCCACACTGGGGAAAATGCTCTTTTCTTCAAGGAGGACATGGTTCAAACATGGGCCCAAATGTACTCGGAAATGGTGATAATATGTGCTGTTTATTTTTAAAAAGATATCAGGGAAGGAGGAATGAGACTGGTGACCAAAACTTTCTTTCTCTCTTGTAGCCTTCTGGCACCAGGAGGAGGAATCCGTCGAAATGCCAATGTGGTAGCCCATGGGTTTGTCAATCTTTTAACTCTAGACAAAAGGACCCTTCAAGAAATTCTAGTGCATTATCCAGATTCTAAAAAACTTCTCATGAAGAAAGCCAGGTACAAATGTTTTTAAACCCCAACAGAAGTGGACAGAGTTGGTTTTACTCTATGAGATCTAAGATGAAGATAAATTTGTTATGATTATAGTCAACTTTCTCCTTGAGATATGCTTAAATACAACTACTAATGTGGTTACCCACCAATAGTTTATCCATAGAAAACATTACCTTGGGGAGCTAGCTCAGTAGAATAAGCGCTTGAGTGGCAAGCGCAAGGACCTGAGTTCAATCCCCGGTTCCACCAAAAAACAAACAAACAAACAAAAAAACACCTTTCTTTTCTGGTAGATTTTGCCAAAACACATCACATAAGTATCCAAACAGCTTTTCCCTCTCATCCACAGAGTACTTTTAAAACAGAACGGTGATCCCAAAGATGCAACACCACCAAGACAAGGGCTTGCCTTCTTTGCTCCATCAAAACGAGAAACACCTAAAATGTTCAAAGCTCTTCTGGGAGGCAGAGGAAAAGCAAACCTTGGGAGACTGCTCAGATTGAAGAGAGCACAGACTGCTCAGGTAATGAGGCAAAGCGAACGAAGGGAGGGCTGTGATGGAGAGGCTTCTGGACTAAGGATACCCAGCTCAGCACCATCAGGCACTGGGGTGATTTGGATGAATCTAATGCTAACAATTACTGCTCTGTATACCACATTTATCATTTAAACTACATTCCTATCTATCATCACATTTAATAGTCATGGCTCATTACAAATGGGTTAATATATAATATTCATAAATATATCCATCCTCAGTATTCATAGGCTCTGTATTTGTGAATCTACCCTCTTATTGTAATTTATGTATAACCCCAAATCAATACTAATGATGATTTTGCAGTCATTCTCAGACAAATGTATCTGCAGACTTGAAAAAACATTTCCTGCTGCCTACACTCCAGGCTAAGGCTGCACAAGGAAAGCCCACTTTCTTGGTGCATTCTCATACTGCACAGAAGCGACCCCTTCACTGCATATTTGGTGAAATACTTTGCACAGTTTTTTGCATGTTTTTGTGTTAAAATGATCCCCAAGCATAGTAAGGAAATACTGTCCAGAGATTCTGACTGCAATAACAGTAACATATTTTAGAAAGTATATGTACAGATAAGTTTTATTCAGTTATTAATTACAATATGTTCTCTATGAGCTCAATGTAATGAATCAGCAAGTACTCAAATTAGTTCCTCAAATTAAATGCATACAAAACATATATTGATTATTTGACCTAAATGTCATGACCCAAGGCTCTTGGGAATCTAACCTTGTATTTCTTTTCAAGGAGCAATGATTCAGTATCTGCCAATTTCATGTCTGGGGCAACTTTATAGAACAAAACTACCATGAATAGATAATAGTATATGTACATATATGCATACATATAAATATGTATGCCACATGGGAGCAGATACATTCACAAATATTATCAGTGTATTTCATAAAAATTTAAAGCCAGGTGATACAGGCATACCATGTTACAGCAGTACAATTCATAACAGCTAAATTTGGAAGCAGCCTACATGCCCATCAACCGATTAGTAAAGTAATTGTGATATATATAATAGAGTACTACTTAGTCATAAAGAATGATAGATCTGAGTTATTTGTAGTTATCTGTGTGGATGTACCTTGAGATCATAATGCTGAGTGAAAATAATGAGACATATAATACAAATATCACAGGATTTCTTTTAGAGCAGAAACTCAAAGTATGAACAATTTAAAGAGCAAAATAAAATACAGATCATACAAAATAGGGAGTCAAAGCCTTTGCAAATGGGATAGGAATCTAGAGATACAGAGAAGAGGGTGGGATGAGAGGGCAAAGAGAAGTAAAAAGAATTAAAATGCACTGTGTAGATGGACCAATGCACCATAATGAAAGTAATCATTCTGCTCAACAAACATGCTAATAAACATAAACAGCATAAGCAAGAAGTAACTGTAAAGCCTCACAGAGTTCATTCAAGCCCTTTATGTCATAGAGAAAGAACCTAAGATCCATGTTAAGTAATTTGGAGAAGATCAATTTATTTTCAAGGCAAAAAAAAAAAAAGGTAATGTTCAGACTTACATGCTTACACTGAACTGCCTTCTAATTCCTAGAAATATAAAGAAATGCTACTGCTTTTTCTTTTTTGTTTCTATATTTCTTTGATTTTCATTTTAAAAATCTATGAGACCAGATATTGAGGAAAAAAAAGAATTAAGGTTTCTAAGTATAACCATCATGTTATCTCTAAAACTCTAAGAAATGGATAGCCCTAGATCTTTTACACCATGAATAAAACAGCCAGGTATGGGGGCATACCTGTCATCCAGTCAATCAGAAGGCTGAAGGAGGAAGATAATGACTTCAAGACCAATCGAGGCTACTCAGAGAATTAAGTGCAGCCTGCACTCTGTAGAGTCTGCCAAACAATTGTATACACATTTCAGGAAAAGAAAAACTTGCACAGGATATTTTAAAACTAAATTTGTTGAGACATCATGAGATGAATACAAGTTACCTTGGGCCCCACAATTACAAGAGGTACTCAAAGTATTGGCCACCAGCTTCCAGACAATTATCAGTATAGCAAACTGCAGCTTGGGTAGCCTTGGTCTCTGAGATGGCTGCACACACTTTTTCCCTTCCTTCTCCAAGGGCCAGCAGTGTAGTGGGTTTTCTGTGATGTACCACATCCTCTAGGGTGTCCTCTATGAGAATAACACCATCTGTTGAAAAAACATCGTGCTTTTTTTCTTTTCTTAAAGTGTGTACACATTGTTTGTTCTCTTCTTCTTCTTCTTCTTCTTCTTCTTCTTCTTCTTCTTCTTCTTCTTCTTCTTCTTCTTCTTCTTCTTCTCCTCCTCCTCCTCCTCCTCCTC